GTTTTGGAGAAATAACCCTGAGTACCAGACAGAAAAGATTAAAATCCTCTAAGTATTGCGAAGCTGAAGTATGTTTATTTGTCATAAAAGTCCTTCGAATATACATATCTACATAGTGAGTATATATTTGTCTTAAAACGTTCACTTCATAGAGCAGGGTCAAGACCATTAAAAAAGTGGTCCTTCACTCGTGCAAGTATATATGTACGAGTTTGTACATACTAAGTGAGGCAAAATTCATTCAAGGCGTTTGCTTGAAGTCTTTCGGGTGTTCCAAGAAGTGAAATTCGGAGTTCAGGAAGCAAATCTTAATTAGGGGAAATCCCACAATTAAAGTTAAGTGCCGGAAATTTTGACATACCGAAGAATAACGGGTCATTAACAACAAAATATTCACAGCCTGAATACAAGCAACTGAAAATAATTTAATATTATTACAATCACAGGCAAACAAGTCAATTCAGGATTTTTTGCACTCAAACTATTGTATTTTACCCAAGGCTGGCCCGTTGTAGTGAAACTGAGATAAATAAAATCTACTCAAGTGTAAAGAAGAAAACTTGACCTTGGCGGAAGGGAATGGGCAATTAGCGACATTCGACCGTCAAACCAGCATAGTTTGAAAACAAAACGCCGCGAGGTTACAGTTTGTAAGAATAACACTAATCTAAGGATGAGAACTATTCAAGCGAACTAGTTTGTGGATTCAACTTTGAAAGTAGCTCAACCAGAAGTTGATAGTCAATGTACATATTTACTAACAAAAGGCGGCATCACGTGTTCGTAAGGACTCTTGGGCCACAGATTGCGCACCGATATGCAAAACTTCAGACATTACAAGTTTCCTTTACCAGAAATTCATAAGGGATCGTCCATGAATCGCGTTTCAACATTTTAAACAACTTTTGGTTTTCTACTAAATAATAATTAAAATTTTTTCTACTTTAAATAAATAATTTAAATAATGGAAAAAAATAATGGATCTCTTAACAACAGCACAACCTACTACATTTATATTTCTCGACGTTATCAAGGGGTGAGACTTTCTTACGGCCTGCTTGCACAACAATTGAAGACAATTGACAATCCACAAGGACGTTTGAGGACCCAAGAATACTCGAATGATTGAAGAGAGGCCATTACAATAAAAAAATACAGTGATAGACCTTATTTTTTTGCAAACGGCAGCGGCGACACTGTATGTTATGGGCAAATGATAGCCGACATATTATATTTTTGGCCTTCAAATTGTAGAACGCGACCGGTCGTGTAATATCTCGTCTGGGCGATGTGTCAATTTGCCACCGAGGTCGTGCGATTTGACCCAGTTGGCCTTTTTTATATCGCTACGCGAAAGACCGTGTTTATGCGGAAAAACCTTTATCTACGGAGCGCTTGAAAACCAGCATCCGGCAAGTTATGGCAAATGCCAAAAATTGATGTAATATATGTATATAGCGGTATGGTTCAAACTTTACGATAAAAGAGAAATTTCATAACAAAAATATTTTAAGTGCATTTTATTTGTGAAACCTTGAAATTTATTCACCAACGGCAAATAAATATATTATTAAGTAAAATTTATTAATAATAACTACTGACACTACTTGCCTTCCCTTCCCTCCCTTGAGTGTGTTACGTGGTTTATGGACGCCCCCTCAATATTACGGCGACATACTTACAAATTCTATGAATTTTTATTTATTTTTATTCAATAAAATACTACAAAGAAAGTTTTAAAATAACTTCGAACCCATTTCTAGTCCACTCCACAGATGGTATGCCCATAAAATACTGGACGAAAAGACAAAACTTGAAAATGTTTGGAAATCGAATTGAAAATTCAAACACAAAAAATGCACATATAATACATGCACATACATGCAAATTCCGCGTCACCTTTGCCATGAGCAAATTTGGCTGTTGAAGTGATAGAGCAATGGGCTGGTCTACCTGGGCAGTTGGACAATGGTCGAGCAATTGCAAACTCAGTCCGCACTCCGAATCGCACGCTGTTCGTATCTGCTGCTACATATGCTTGTTTGCGACAGGTTGCGCCAGCAAGTGATCCGCCTCCACAGGCACCACATTGCCGCACCAACACCGCGACACCGCAAATGCCCCAATTGCAAGTGCCACAACCGTGAAAACCGCGCAGCCACCCAATCACACCTGCAAAGCGACAGCCCAAATGGATAGCAAAGAACAAAGAAACAAACAAGCGAGTGGTTGGGCTCCCAGCCGCTGTTCATCGCTCAATCTGTTCAGGTGAATTGCGGTTTACATTTTATTATTGATGCCAATTGTCGATATGGCAACGATATTGGCAGCCAACAGCTAGTCGGCTGCAACCGATAGCAAAAAAAACAAAAAAAAACGAAACTGAGTACTCCAAAAAATAGCAAAAATAATACATTTACGAAATTAAATAAGAAAACAACGGATAAAACCATTAACCAGAACAACAACAACAACAACAACAACAACAACAAGAACAAGAACATATTACAACAGAAAACATGCAATTTTTGGGGTTTCATAGTAATGGCGGCGGCCCACATTTGTGATTGCTCGGCGGCTGCCCGTCCCATTGCAGGTTGTTGCCGTTGGTCGGTAGCAAATTGATTTTGTGCAGCAAGTGGCTTCACAGCTAGTACCGATGCTGCTGTTGCAGCTACTACTGGCGATGCGCCCTTAGCGGCTGCAAATTTAGTTGGAGGAGATGCTATGAATAATCGTAATGATTACGAGTGGCTGAGCCGTCGAGTAGATGTATTTAGTAAAAATTAATTGAGCGCCGTTGATGCGAAACAACTTTGTTGGAAAAAGCAGTTTCATATTATTCAATTATTATTGTGTCTCGACTTGAACTAACCGCGAGAAATATTAAAGTAATTTCTATTAACAAAAATTTAATGTTGTGAAAAATCCTACCCACAACCAAAGCCACTTCCTCAAAAACCACAGCTGCTCAAAGGTAGCTTCCTCAACTGGTGCTGTACTTGCTGGTAAGCACATCTCTTCCTGTAATTTGTCATAGTTCAGTGGGATTTTGTCTAGCATAAGCCATGTTTTCGCGCCAAAAGAGGCAGTCTGTTTATGGCATCGCTTTGAAAGAGAAACGAACGAAAAGCCCGACGAAAGATCGTGCGTAGATCCGATTCAAAACATTATCCTTGCTGTGCTTCTGTCATGCGTCGATTGAGGCCACAATTTCAGGTGAATGGAACGTTCAATCTCCTCGGTGTAACATTAAGCCCTCGTCCTACTCAATTGGCTTACTTACTGTCAAATTTAGAACAAATTTTCAGATTCAGATGAATCAAAATCTTCTGACTTTTAATTTTTTATCCTTTGCCTTTTATCTAATTGCCCACAGAAATGTAGGTATGCGGGGTTGTGTGCTTATGAAACAAAAGTTGGCAAAAACTAAAACGCATCTCCTCTTTCTAACAGGGTTCATAGTGCCGCGCGTATCACTCTCCATCTGCTACGTACACGTAGGTGTATATGTATGTAAGTAGAGCCCTACTGCACGCCGTCAAAAGAGAGCAAATCACCACTGATGCCATTGATCTCGTTTGCTGATCTGTAGCGCACAATTGCAGCTATGTAGCTTCCTACATATACTTTATAACTAGATACATATATATATTGTGAACTTATAGCAATTTTACCACCACCCCTAGGCAACCACACCGATCTCACTAACCGCTTTAAAAAGCCTAATACTTTTGCTGCGTCATTGCAATTATATGGACGCCAATTGATCCTCCGTTGGTGATTTTCTTGTCATGCCATTGAAGAATGCCACGCAATCTCATGTCCCATGTCGCACAACAAACCCATATCCAAGCTTAGCTGTCGCGTTACTTTTGCTCCTCCTCCTTCTCCTTCTACTCGCCGCAACTAGTCGCAGCAATGCGGCACCGGTGAATCGTGTTCTGGCCGCCCCTTTTGATTTAAGCGATATCAGATTTAATTTTTCTTTATTGCGTTGATGGGCATTGTTGTTGGCTGCTTGGTTGGTTAGCCAGTTGGCGCGTGGTCTCTGCATTTGGCGACGTTCCTCTTGAGCTAGCAAGCATGTTTTCGTAATTTATTATTGGAAAAAATGATTTTGAGTATTCGTAGAGAAGCTAAAATAGCAAAGCGTCTTTACTATTTATTAGGCCATAATCTTTTTAGTGCTTTAACCCCATGTAAACTACTTCCGAGATCTCTTTTGAACAAGGATCTAAATCTATGATGAGTAAACCGTCCTCTCCATGGCTTTAGACTGTTCTTAATTAAGCTGATTTTCCAAATTTCAAACATAATCTTATGGCGATACACGACAAGTGAAAGAACTCTTCCGCTGTCAATAAACCAAAATATCTATCAAATCAATATATTTGTTTTTATTGTGTTTTTATTTTAGATGTATACAAATTTTTATATACATATGTATATATATAATTGGCGCTTTTTCACCGCCGCAGCGATTTTGGCCGACATACATATACGAATACGAGCATATACGAGTACATATGTATGAGTGTACAATAATGGTTTAAGACCGTTTTTGAAGCAGCATATTTGAATTAAGTTTTAATTACATCTTTTCAGTTGCTTATCGAATTACTTAATAAATAAATAAATAAATTTTAATAATTACAGTATTTTTAAGTGTATTCCAGACAATAAAAAATTAAAATATGACTTTTGTCCTCTATATCTGCTCATATTTTACAAGTTCCTCATCCAAATTCTAAAAACTAATTTTCACGGTCGCAAGAGAGAAAATCCAAGGTTCTCCTCCTAGTCCAACTAACAACCAATCGGCGACTTAAGCCGTAGGTCCCACACTTTGATAAAGAAAAAAAAAAACATAAAAAATTTCTCGTCAAAAGAAGGACTTAGGGTAATTAATAATGGAACACTTTGAATAATAAGTTAAGCTTAAGATTAAACGTAATTTCACTTCAGATTAAAATTCTGGAACCAAAACTATTGTCGCGTTAAGGTGAACGAATTGTTTCTGGTAAGTTGTAAAACAGATACGGCGGCGGACACACTGGCATTAAATCAAACGGAAAAATGAATGGATTTACAGTTAATGGAAAATACATATTAAATCCTGGCTGCCAAGGACTTAAAGCTATTGCCGGTGTCGTGTTTCTGATCGTTGTTGCTGGGGTTGATGTTTTCGGCACTTGGTTTTGGCGCCGATTTCTTTTAGCTTTCTTTTCTTGCGTGGTGTCAATCGTCCAATACTTGCCGCGGCCCGGATCGTCAGCAGGTCGGGGTACGAGCGTAAATATTTTGTTTATGCTTAAGGTGTGACGAATGTTGTCACGCCAATTTTCGTTCCTGTGGCGGAATTCTGGAAATTCCTTCTCAATCCAACTGTAAATTTTCTGTAAAGGTAGACGGTTATCAACGCTGCTACGAATTGCCAATACGATCGCTTCACTATAAGTTATTTGACTGTTCTTGTTTAAGTAATTCACTGCATTTGAAATTAATTGGCGTGGTGGCGGTGGTTGTGGTGGTGTATCATCTTTAAAGACACCAGTGTCGGCCAACAAGGCCCTAATATGGAATGTTTCTCCTAAAACCATATTTTCTCTCTTCAAAAATTTTGATTTATTTAAATTTTTTACATATACACTTGTCACGACAACTCGGTAAATGTCACTTCTAGAACTTAAGTTGACTAACTGATGAAAATACTGTGATTTTACTCCTTTTATGCTAAACCGCTATCCGCAAATTACATTATGAGACATTTAAAAGCGGATTTATTTTAATTCAAAACAATTGAAAACACTAAAACAACACATTACCTGAATGTCCTTAGCGCTTAACAGTCATAATTATCTGGCGCAAAATAATGGCTTGCAAGAAGTTTGAAATTATTAGTCAAGATCGTCCATGAACGTTGAACAAACGGACAATTGCTGGAACCTAAGAAAACTTTTACCTACATTCTTTAGAATTAGGAATAAATTACATAAATAATACAAAGCGATGAGGGCGGGACAGCCTTTCTTTCCAGCGCTCTCGTCCATATTTTTATTGCCTTCTACATCTGTGTGCTCCGGTAAGCAAGTGATATTCATTGTGTTAAATTCCTTTTCACATTTTCTCACATATTCACACTTAATTGCCTTGATTGTCACTTGACTGTTTACCAAAAACCTAATAGACGAACAATTAAAAGTGGTTGCACATTTTTCATGTTCAGTAATGTCCACAATCTCTGCTTGGAAGACAGAGTTGTTGTAACTGGATTTGAAGCTACTTGGGTTATTGGGGCCGTCGCATAAGAACTCTGCTGCTGTGTCTGCCTCGCATTTGGACCGGTCACTATGTATGTGGATATCTGCGGTATTGACACCCCTTCAACCCTCTCTTCCCTAGTAGAGAAGGCACAAGTCATTTGCACGGACGCATTGTTCGTTTAGGCCGAGATATGTCATTACATTCTGTATGTTGCGTTGTCCCTCACAGCTGAGTGACGGGCAGATTCGTAGATACCACGCTGCTCCGCTGGCAGTTGAGATGCTTGACTGTAATGGGGTTACCCGGCAGCTACTTATGTCAAGGGAACAGGAAATATCGACCAGATAAATGCCAAGACTTATTCCATATGATCTCCACATGAAAGCCTACCGTCGGTCAACTGGTCATGTTTTGACAAGGCTCTCAAAACAAACTAGGCTGTGCGCATGAAAGCGGCTCTTTCAGTGGCATGAAATGAATGGCCATGTAAATGATAGAATCTACGCCAAATCTTCCAAAGCCGCAAAAAATGCTATTCCAAGGTTTCAAAGATCTCGAACCAAGCTGCAAATGTATGGCCGTCTGAAGGTTCAGATTTCAATCCATTGGACTACAGTTTGGGGTTAGAGCTGGAGAACATGCCCGGTCGAATACCCCACAGAAATTTGAAGAGTCTCAATAAATCTTTGGTTCAAGCAGCGTCTTCAATACTAATTGAGTTTCCTATTTACAAGGGCTTGAACTTGTAACAACTTATGGCAGAAGAACAGTGTTTGTCCAGTAAAAGCTTTCATTTGTTTGTAAGTCCTCTTTACATGAGTGCATATCTAGTAGGTGAATAACCTTTCACCTTTTATACTATACAGTGCTGTTGAAATGTTTTTTGGCGAGGCCACAGAAGTGTCCAACAGAGGTATTCAATGGCCACTTGTCCAAAAACCTAAGAAAAATAAGTCCAAATTTCGTTGGGGCCTTTATTTTCGATTGTTAATGCGACGTATGACATTTTTCTATTTTCTACGAGTTCAAATTAACCGAAACAATGATTTTTTATTTAAGATTGATGCGACTGATTATATTCTTTTTTTCCGGTCAATTTATCAAAGTTGGATTATTTCGCAACGTAGTCCGGTTTCCAAATTTTGTGGCTTCAGAAACTTATGTGGAACCAAATATGCATAAAAACTTTGTTACAATGGCACCAAGAAATTACATTGAGATAAAAAAACGCCTCCACAATACATCGCTCGTTTCATTTGGCAAGCCACTTTCTGCATTTATCCACGAAATATTGAATTCCAAATGAGTTTTCTTTTTTCCGAAAAGATCTGACAATTTTTGAATATTATTTGGGTCACTAACAAATGGGTTTGTGAGGAATTTGAATGCCAACTGAAACTTATGAAAATCTTCAAATCGTGAAACGCACGCGTTAATCAAAGTATCAAAAAAATAAATATTGAATGAAAATGTTCGTATCGTAACCTAGCTCAAATTCTTCATTATATTGATTTGTGTCTAACACTGGAAAGAAAGTAAAATCATTTGTTTTATTATTGGCAAGATGAAATCTCTGCGGTTAACATTTTAAATCGTTTTTTGGAAAAATTTTAAATCATTATTTGAAAAATATCAAAGTCTTCTCGTTGGCCACTGAAATTTGTCGCTTGGCCACAAATGGCCGAGCGGCGACTAGTTTGAACAGCACTGCTCTCCACAGCAGTAGAGACTGTACTGGAAGACTACAACTGTTTAGTAGCTGAAAATGTGGCTTTGTTGTGCTTAATTTCCGTACTAAGTCCAAGGTATTTTCTCCAATCCATTAATCGATTTTTATATTTCCACAAAGTGGTGTGCTGTGCTGCTGCACATGGCTTAACGAGTTATGATTTGATAGTTAGATGTTTGAATGCTTGCCACAACATATTTAACAGTTGCGCTGCTGCAAATGCGTTCGACATGGCGAAAACATAAAATAAAATCAATTAATACAGCGCTAACATTATCAACGATTTTAGACACGATGCCGACGCTAAGAATGTGGACATTTACCGATGCCAAAGAGCAGGAGGCAAGGGAAAATAAATTACAATTTGCTGCTGAGCACTCTTTGAACTTATATATACATACATATACATATGTAGATATGTCAATGTATTTCCATAAACGCTGGGCGAATTGCAATTAATTGCTAAGACTATAAGTATAATATGGTGTTTTGAGAGACAAAAAGAGTATAAAATAAAATTTCACTCAAATCGTTGCAAGGAGTCGTAGCCTATTCGGAACAAAATCTACTTCTAATATTACAACCATGTGTACATACACGTATATAGAAATCTTGCTTTCATTTGTAGCTCCGGTAGTCTCCAAAAGATACCGACTGTTTGACATGAAATTTTGGCAGGTTGTTTCTATGGTGATCTTGGTGATCTATGTACCACACTATTCACTGCGGCGTTGAAAGACAATTAATCATATATAAGTAACTAGACACCGTTGCGGAAGTATTTGAGGCAGTCACTTTATGCACCAGAATTTTTCGATTCACGGATTAAATCGGTGTCTGTCATAACGCCCACCATTCGCATGGAAAAAATTTCGACTCTGATCGGACTTTTCAATCGAATCTTCACCATTCCGTCCGATACTGCCTTTTAAGTCGAGCGCCTTCAGTTCCCAGATACGGATTGCTTCGCGACTGAGTAATTGTATGCCGAATGTTTTAGGGTTGGCATACGAGATACCCTTTTTGTTATCGGACCCACGATAAAACCAAAAATGTTGTATACCCACAGGTGTTGAGTAAATAAAATTATGATGAAAAGATATCCCATGATAAGATTATTTTCCATAGATTCAATGCGCGGGATCGTTTCCACCACCACTAACTTGAATTTGAATATTAAAAAGTAAAACACTTAAGTTTTTTATTTTGATTTTAGTTTTTTCATAAAAAAAAAATCTAAATAAGATTGATTTTATTGGTTTTTTTATTTTCCACCAATCATCCATAAGTAACGGAAATTTTATTATTGGAAAAATATTCTAGATGGTAAAAAGCAGTATATAAATACATACATACATACATCCATACATAAATATGAACTGAAATTGTATATTGCAATGCCGAAAATATTTATATTTCATTTATCAATTGCATATACATACATACATACATACATATGTACATATATAGAAACCAAATTTAAAAATGTCAGTTAAAACGACTCTACATACATATGTATGTATATTCTGAGCGGCCTGAATTTTGTTGTTGATGTCAAACAATTTAAGCTAAATACAGGTTTTACCTATCCATGCTATCCTTCACATTGTCCCTAAAGCCATGTCCATCTAGCGACTGTGGTTGTTAAGTCATTATAAATGCCAGACTAGCGGTTGCAACCGAAGCTTACGCTGAAGTCTACAAAGAAGACGTGGCGAAATTTGTTATCCTCAACGTCACACTTTCGTCCTCTGCATAATCTTGAATCAGCGGACTGGACATTCACCAATTATATGTATGTATGTAGCATATGTACCTACTCGTAGTTGTGTCGCGTCGTGTCTTGGATCGAATTGGACTGCCACAAGCTTGCGACGTCACCCGGAAAGTGCGATACATACATATATATATATATATATATATACATACATACGTGGAGCTCTACAACGAGGGTGCAAATGCGTATTTTAAAAGTTTCTCCAACATTTTATCCTTCTAGTTACGTGAACTTTTCGTTGTTTTATCTACACGTTTGCCTCCCAGGAAATTGATGCGCCACCAAGTCAACTTAATTTCAATCTCCGTCAACTGTCGCTGGACATTTTACACATGGACATATGGACATATGTATGCACATATGCACACACATACATACATTTGTATGTCCTTTTTAATGTGTGCGTGTGTATGAGCCGCGACGATCAGCCGCCTTGGCTAATATGTAGTTCTGTACATACATACATACATATACATACATATGTAGGCTTGTATATAATTGGTAGTGATTCGTCCATTGATATGTGTGGCTGGGCATATCTTTCCGAATGGCAAACTGCAATTTGCTATCCAAAACCATTTAAAGTAATTTATTTCTTTTTTGTGTGTATATTTCGCAGAAGATTCGCATAAAGCTGCGCTAACGCAAGTTCTTGCAATACATACAAATATGTGTATACTCTGTATGTGCGTGTGCGTAGAAGCATTCGAAAATCCTCACATGGATGGATGGCTGTGATCGCGTAAATGACTTCTTTTTGCGCGTTTTCTCGCCGGACGAGTCGACGGCTTGTGGCCGACAAGCGAACTTTTGAACTGACAGCTTGTGAT